CGTCGCTCGAGCATGCCCTGTTTGCTCCCTTTCCGGGGTCGGCCAAGAGGGGGGCGTCCAAGAGGGGGGGGGGGCGCACATCATGGCCAGCGGCATGTGCGCGGCCCAGCGGTGGGCCAGGGAAGTATCGAAATAAGAAGAGGGGCCATGAATCTGGGGAGATGTCCATGAAATCTTGGGAGATATCATGGCCCCCGCCATGATACCCACACCCCCCCTAGTCATCACCCCCCTCTTGGCCGCCCCGACCTTTGCGTTTGCTGCCCTCACCCCTGGCGTTAGCCAGGGGCGAGGCCCGACGATGGCGCCGGTCCCCGGACAGATCTAGAACCGCCACCATCGCAGACCGCAGGAGGAAGGGGAGGAACGGAGCTGCAGGAGGAGGAGTTTGGGGGATTGGGGGTGACGGGAGAAGGAGGAGGAGGAGGAGGAGGAGGAGGAGGAGGAGGAGCTGGAGGAGGAGGAGGAAGAGGAGGAGGACCAGTGTAAACCCAATACTCATCAACGATATTGCCAGAAACCCTCCCTCCTAGTTCCCTCTGCATCGGCCACTGCATGGATTCAGTTTCGCAAGCAGAAATGCCCCATGTGAAAACAAACGTTTGAAAATCCTGAACTGTGCGAGAACACCACTCCCGGGACTTCAACGCCGCGAATCACCGTTGCTGTTGCGTCTTGACGATCCTGAATCGCGCCAGAGCGCCATTCCTGGGACTGCAACCCCACGAATGAGCGACACTGTTGCGCCCCGACAGTCCGGCATCGTGGCAAAACACCACTCCTGGGACGTCAGCCCTTATAACTCTTAAATTGCTGCAGAACTGTAAAAAGAACGCGCGCGGCGCCGAGGGGAGAAACACGTTTTGAAAAGCACCCTAACCGTAAATTCTTAATCCTATAATTATTAAATCCGAATTACTGCAAAAGCGGTCCGTATGCAACCCGGCTCCATCTACTGCAAAAAATAGCATTTCCTGCGCATGCGTGCGGAATCTCTTATTTTTCACAGCACAAAGTGCCCAGCCCCCGTCGCGTTCCGCCTCCATCCTATGCAAAGAAAACATTTCCTGCGCATGCGTGCAGAATCTCATATTTGTTACAACACAAAGTGCCCAGTCCCCGTCGCGACCCCCCTCCATCCACTGCAAAAAAATACTTCCTGAGCATGCCTGCAGAATCTCTTATTTTTTTACAACACAAAGTGCGCCCCTCTTATGTAAACCCGCTCCATCTAGTGCAAAAAAAACACACTTCCTGCGCATGCGTGCAGAATCTCTTGTATTTTACAAGACAAAGTGCCTTCCGTTGCGACCCGATCCACCAATTCTCCCGACTAGCGTTTCCTGCACATGCGTGCAGAACCTCTTCCGCCCGACCCGACTCGTCCCGCCCGTTACAGCACTCGCGTGCCAACTGGATCGCACATCCGTCGTCGCCGTCGTCGTCGTCGTCGTCGACGCTGTATTCGATGCGGTTCTAACGAGGGGAGAGATGATCTTCATGGTGGGGTGGCGTGCGGGTGGGGATGACGGCCACCGCAGGTGGGTTCGCGGTCACGGTGTACTCGTGGCCACGCCTAGTAGACGGCCCTAAACCCTAAACCCTAAACCCTAAACCCCAAATTTTTAATCGTATAATTATTAAACCCTAATTACCATAAAACCTGTCCGTATACAAACCGGCTCCATCTACAGCAAAAAAAACATTTCCTGAGCATGTGTGCAGAATCTCTTGTATTTTACACTACAAAATGCCCGGCCCCCATTGCGATCCCCCTCCATCTATTGCAAAAAACTGCATTTGCTGAGCATGCGTGAAGAATCTTTTGTGTTTGACATTGCAAAGTGCCCGGTCCCCGCTGCGACCGGTTATGTAAACCGGCTCCATCTACTGTAAAAAATAGAGAATGCTTTTGGCGGACGGAGCCTACTTTTTGGGACCCATGATGTCATGCTGTATCACAGTGGCGGGATAGGCCTAGGGCACCTAACAGTGAAGAGACGACACGCACACATGGCTCCCCACTTTTGGGGGACACATGCTTTGCTATGCCATGTGATAGCACAGTGCCGGAATAGGCCCAAGGCCGGTAACAGTGAAAGAAGACGCGCACATAGAGGTCCCAACTTTTTGAAGACCCATGCTATGCTATGCCATGCCACAGCACAGTGGCGGTGTAGGCCTGGGGCAAGTAACAGTACCAGACAACACGCACAAAGGGGTCCCCACTTTTTGGGGACACATGTAGTGCTATGCCATGCTATAGCACAGTGGCGGGATGGGCATAGGGCAACAGGAAGTAAAAGGCAACGCGCACATAGGGGCTCCCACTTTTTGGGGACCCATGCTGTGCTATGCCATGCTATAGCACAGACTCCCCACCCCACCCACACCAGAAGAATATAAAGCCGGAGTGTGGTATCCAATCATACGCAGGGATCCCGGACAAACCGCCGTTCGGCGCGGGGATGCCGCACGGGAGCAACAGGATGAAAATAGACCACACGAACGCCAGCGAAAGTGCAACCACTGTTGAGGACACAGACGGGCCCATAGCAGAGAGACCAATTGAGGCAAATGTCTGCAATCGCGGAGAACACAAATGAATAATAGACACAGAGCAGACAACAATAGGGCGCTTATCACATCGTGCTATGGCATCGTGCTATGGCATGGCATAGCCCGGCATGGGTTCCCCAAAAGGTGGGGACTCCTATGTGCGCGTTGTCTTTAACTCCTTCCTATCCCAGGCCTATCCCGCCACCGGACTATGGCACGGCATAGCACATCATGGGTCCCCAAAAGTAGGGTTCTCCCGCCGGACCCGACCCGTCCCGTCCGTTGGGGTCCGCCTGCCCGACTCTTCCCGCCCGTTAGAGCACTCGCGTGCCAACTGGATCAGTCGTCGCCGTCGTCGTCGTCGACGTTGTATTCGATGTGGTTATAACGATGGGAGAGATGATCTTTATGGTGGGGTGGCTTGCGGGTGGGAGTGACGGCCACCGCAGGTGGGTTCGCGGTCAAGGTGTAATCGTGGCCAAGCCTGGTAGACCCTAAACCCTAAACCCTAAACCCTAAACCCATCTTGAAAGCGACCCGCCCTCCCTCCGTGAAACTGCTGGAGAACTCAAGCTTCAGGATCAGTAAATGGCGAGGAAGGCTCCGGCGACACGCCCGGCCCGCCCTAGCGACACGACCCAGGGTGTGGACAAGGAGGGAATTGCTTAGAAGGAAGATGGGGGTCCAAAGAATATACACCACCACCACGTCGATTCCTCCTCTCGCCTCTTTCCAGCGAGAGGGAGGGGGGGAGGAGGTGGTGGTGGTGTATATTTTGGGGCTTCCTAGAAGAGGGATGGAGGAGCATTGCAACTGTTGTAAACCTGAAGAACAAACGTGCGCGGCGCTGAGGCGAGAACCACATCTTGAAAAAGAACGGCCCTCCGTCCGCAAAATGCTTGAAACTTCAAAGGCGTGTCTGCGCGCGGTGCTAAGGCGAGAGCCACAATCTTGAAACGGCCCGCCCTCCATCCGTGATATTGTTGCAAATAAAAAGCTTCAAAATCAGACACGAAGAGGAAATCTCAGGCGAAACGCCCGGCAAGCCCTTTGCGACAAGCCTCGGGGTGCGACAGGAAGGAATTATAGAATCAATAAGGGCAATAATTACCCAAGTGCGACCCTACCTAAAGTTGGAGCCCCTAGGAAAGCAGCATTAGTTG